TATTACAATAGAACTGATGAATAAATTGAGTAAATTCTTTAAGCAAATGTCTATTTTGTGATAATATATTTGATGAGACTTGCTTGTTACGATTGAAATCCAAATCTAATAAGTCCATATTGAAATGTAATAAATAGGATACACTTGAAATAATTTCTGATGTAATATTTAACATCTCATTTCTACTTAAAGGAGAGTTTGGCATTGATGGTAGTTCATAAAAATTTTGATATTGTCGAATTGAAGTTTGTAAAATATCGAATAAATTATTAAAACCTTCTAAAGTGAGCTTATCATTTGATGAGTGTGAGTTTCTAAAGTGAATATTCTTTTTTTCTGGTTCGAATGGTAATGCAGCAAATTCAAAACCCAAAATATTTGTAGTGTGAGATTTATTAATACTTGTGAAATCAAAGTCAACATTTTCGATGGTTATATTTGGGAGTGGATAAAATGTTACACGTGGATTTTTTGGACAAAGAACAAGGATATGATACTGGACGCCTGGTGTCATAAGGATTGGTGTGTCTAAGTTGTAACAATGTGAAACTTCTTTGTTTTTTAATTTTAATGATAATCCATCATTTGAAAATATTTGAATAATTGGTGTAAATACTTTATTTGATTTTGGGAAAACTAAAGAATAAATCAGAATTGGCTTACTAACTTTAACGAATGTGGTCATTTGATCTGATGATGTTGGTCTATTACCAATATTAACTTCTGATTCAAATATTACTCTTGGTAAATTACGATAGTAATTTGAATTGGTTGAAGGAAATGTTATTTGCTTTAATTCTTTTTCAAGATTCTGCTTTTGTTTTAATTGCTGCTCTTTCTTGTGCTTCTTTTCATAAATTGAAATTAACAACATTAACAAAGAGGTGACATGAGAATTGGTTTGATTTGTTAATAATAAATAAAGTGGGTGGAATGGTAAATTTAATGATTCTTGATTTTCTAATATATTAAATCTTTGTTGGTTTTTGTCGAAATAAAATGACAATTTATTTGATAAAAATAGTGATGATAGTCCCTCGATATTTACAGTATTGCCTTTTTCTTCCTTTTCATTTGAAAATTGATTAAATTGTAATTTAATGTTATTTCTACAAACCAAATCCATTGAATCTTTTTTATATAGACAGTATTGGTAATGATCTTTTGGAACTGATTTGATGAGAGATGGAGGTAAGAAGACACCAAGATATTTTTGATCAGAGTAAACTTGGATGTCAGAGAAATTCTTACGGTAATAAATTTGTGGCAATTTTTCTTTTAATATTGAGAAACCAAATTCACAAACAGAAACTTCGGTAATACGTTCAGTTTCATAATCGATAATACTTGAATCTGATATGAGAGTGAATACATTAGTTGGTTTAAGTGATTTAATATTTCCAGAATAATAGAGATGATAGTCGGCTGTTAAAGCTAAAGTAAAAGTTAGACCAATATAAAACTGGATGCCCTCAATACTAAATGGATAATCCTTTAGTTTTCTATAGTTGGTGGCATCTTCGAAATCACCTAAACCAAGCTGACCAAATGAATTATCACCACTAACATAAATTTCATATGAATCGTTGATTTCATCACTATTATTTGATGATTCTTTTTCTTTATCCTTGAGCTCCATTTCTTTTTTATACTCCTCTTTTAATTGCTTCCTATCTACAACTGTAATAAAACTTGAAAAACCAGAATAAACCTTTTCAAAAGTATCATATAGTACTCTAGATTCTTCATCGGTAATTTTTTCCTTTACATTATCATTTGAAATTTTTGAATAATAAATGAAATGTTTATCTTGACTATTATGGTAATGGAGGCCTTTTGGAGTTGGTAATAACTTTTCAATTTTAAACTCTTTATCTTTTTCGAATGTGGCTCTATTTGATAAATCGACACGGTCAAAAGAAATAACATTACCTTTTGTTGTCAAACCATATAAATGGGAAACTGAAGCTTTAATATCCACAAACTCTTGATCCTCTACTTCAATTTTTTTAAAATTTTGGTTTGATGATACTACTAGTTCATAAATTGAACCATTACTGTCGACAACAAACAAATCTGGTGAAAAAAATTCAATCTTTCTTAATTTTTTTGGATCTCCTGGAAGCTTAAAGAACTTTGGCTTACCACCACTTTCAAGGAAACCGCTATTATAAAAAAAATGTTAATATTTATTTTATTTTTATTTTATTACTATTGTACTATATTAAATGACACATACTTTGTACCAACTAAAAATAAAGAATTATCGGTTGTTAGGTAAAATATACCTTTTTCGGTAGGATATACAGATTTAATATTTGAAAGATTTGAAAGATTATAGGAGTCTAAATTTTTAATTTTTAAATTTACCAGCTCTATCGATTGATTATTAGAAAACAAATCAATATTTTCGATTGAATCTTGAACTAGATGGGAATTTATTGATAAGTTATTGTTGACACTGGATGACTCCTTACCGTTGCTATCATGATTAGTGACAACTTCATCCTTAATTAGTTTTAGATATCTAATTCTTGGTTTTGATTGCCCAATTGATAATTCTAGAACCCCAATTTTCTTTGTAAATGGATCTTGGAATAGGCTATATGGATGAGTACCTAATGGATTTAATTCACCTTCAATTACCATAAAAGACTCTTCAAAACTATCCTTGTCAAGAACTGAAATAATACCTAAATCCATATCCAAACTTCTAAAATATATATTATTATCCATTATGAACATCCATGATCTAAAATTATTATCGCTGTTACTATCGTTATTATTTAATATACAAGGTGATGATGATATTGATGATTTATCATTTTCGTTATCTTCATTATTATTATTATTACTATTACTATTACTATTGCTATTACTATTACTATTACTATTATTACTATTATTATGATAATTCATTTTACTTTTACATAAAATAAAATCTAACTCTAAATTTAATTTAAATTTTAATAAACCTAAATTACAGTGAACATAAATATAACCATTGTCGAATAACATTGAATAAACCTGCTTTAAATTATAAATAAAATTATTTTTTTCGTATTCTGATGATCCATCCTTTTCTGGTGAGTAATTATATTGATAATGGTTATTAAATTCGAATTTTTCTAAAGGTAAAAAATTGTTAAATTCACCTTTGATAATATTTGGATAACTATAATTAAATGAATTAGTAGAAAATTTTTTAATGATGCTATGGAATAAATAAAAAATACATACTGAGTTGTAAAGTTAAAAGATATAATTAATTTAATAACTCCAGTTATTAAATTTATATCATTTTTAGCCATTACTAATGATATCAAAGAGGATGCTATATCTAATCTTTCGGTTTGACCAAGCTTGTCATTCTTTACAATTTTAATAAAAACACTGATTGCTTCGTTAACCAAAGAATCTTTTATTTCGCTCATTGAACCGACAGATACTGTTGAAAAGTATTCTTTAGCTAGACTATAACCCTTTGATCTAAGAATTTCATTTTGGTCATTCAATAAATCTAATAAAAACCTTAAGAATACTTCGGAGGACAATTTTGTTGAAAGAGTATTAGTTGAGCCATTTTCATCTGGCTTGTAAGATTTTTGTTTTCCCTCTTCTTTTTCTTCTTCATCTTTGTGTTGTGGAACATCCTCTTCATCTGAATCTTCACTATCTTTGTCATCTATTATGAGTTGGCAGTTTTTCCATAATAAAAACTTCATTTGAAGGATACAATTACTATTGGACATTGGGAAAGTTGAATTTAAAGGTGCATATTTGCCAGTAACTAATTCGCCTTGTTGATCCACAATCTTTTCGAAAGAATTGGACTTTTTTGATACCTCTTGAAATCTATTCAAAAAATAGTCAACGTCCAATCCATCGAATCCATTTTCATCATAGATGTTATTAAAGACTTCACTAATTATATTATTTTGCATTTTCTTCTTTTTGATTGTTATTTATTAAATTTGTTATTGCTTTCTTTATTCATATAGATATTGATTTTAATTTATCTTTTTTTTTTTTTTTTTTATTTTTATTTTATTTTATTTTTAGAATATAAAGCTGTTGGTGTTGATTATCTATTGATATTAAAAAAAAGAAAAAAATTTAAAAATTAGTTATAAAAAATTAAAAAAAAAAATTAAAAAAAATAATTAAATTTAATTTTCAAAAAAAAAAAAACCCAAAAAAGATTTTTTCAATTCACTCTAACTACACAAATATTTTGGGTTAGGTAAAAAATTATATTTACCCTTTTCTTTGTACTTTGTATCTTTATACTTTTGCGTAAAATAAAAAATGAATGAAAAAAAAAAAAAAAAAAAAAAAAAAAAACAGAATAAAAAAAAAAACAGAATAAAAAAAAAAACAGAATAAAAAAAATTTTATAATCAATGATTTGAAAAATGAATAAAAAAAGATGTGGGAATTATAAAAGAAAAAAAATGAAAAATATTTTTAAAAACCAATTAATTTAGAATTCATACATACATATTAATATAACAAAACACACATAACTAATTATATGCACAAAAATTATATTTATATTATATATATAAGATTCTAATGAATCTAAAAGAAGAAAATTATTTTAAAAAAAAAAAAATAGATGGAGTATAATTTTGTTATAAAAAAAGAACAAGAATTAACTTTATTATTATTTTTATCTAAAAAGAATTTATCAGCTTATTGGTATAAAATTATGTTTTTTATCTTTTTTTTTTTTTTTTTTTATTTTTTTTTTATTTTTTTATTTTCAACTTAATATTAAATAACATAAATGTTTAAATAAATTATTTTTTAAAATTTATTATTTAAATAAAAAAATAAAAAAAAATAAAAAAAAAATTAAAATTAAATAAAATTTTTTTTAAAATTTTTTTTTAAAATTTTTTTTTTATTTTTTATTTTTATTCAAAACAAACGAATAATAGAATATATAAATATATATAATTATATATAAATATATAAATATACAACTATTTAAATTTAAAATATAATAACAAAATAAAAGCAACACAAAACAAAATATAAAATAAAATTTTTTTTTAAAATAATATAAATATTAAAGTACAATGAGCGAAATTAATAATAGTGATAAAAAAGAAAACCCTCAAGAAGCTCAGCTTTGTTTAAGAAATTGCGGTTTTTACGGGTAGGTTTTATATGTTCCATTTATGGATTTTTTTTGGTGTTATGTAATCACAAAAAACTTACTAATTTTTTTATTTAATTTTTTATATTAATATTTTAGTAATCCAAAAACAAACGGATTATGTTCAAGCTGTTTCCAAAAGGAAGGAACATCATTAAGACAACAATTACTACAAAGTAACGATAATATTAGCAGTAATAGCGAAAATTTACAAGAGAGCCAAGGTCAACAATCACAACCACAACCACAACAAACTAAAGAAGAATCCCCAAAAGGTAATAAAAAAAGAACAATAGATTATTTAGAATATATGAATGGACTCGATGGGAGAGCTAGAAATAGTAATACTAACCGTTTAATAAATGAAGATAAATTAAATAGTGTCGCTTCTACCTCTGCCCCAGCCGTAGTTTTCACACCACCTCCAGTTACCTCAACAACCACCACTACCATCTCCACCAACAATGATAACTCTGGAAACGTTGGCACCACCTTAAGCGCTACCCCTAATACAACAACTTCACCATTAAAAATATTAAAGCATGAAATTAATAATAATAATAACACTCAATTTTCATCATCCGAAGGAACTCTAAAACCATCAGCCGATTCACCATTTTCATCTTCACCTTTATCATCTTCACCATCAAAATCAAATATTAAATGTAAATTCCCTTCTTGTGGTAAATCCATTAGTTCTTCTCTTTCCCTCTCAAGTAAATGTAGATGTGGTGAATATTTCTGCGGTAAACATATACACAACCACAATTGCACTTTTGATTACAAGTCATTAGCCAAATCAAATATAGCTAAAGCCAATCCTCAAATTTTAGCAAACAAAATAGTAAAACTTTAAAATAACTACATTAATACATATAACTCCGCTCACTCAATCAACTACTCATCACATTTATTAATTCGCCCTCTTCTCCTCCTCTTCTGTATATATAATTTTTTTTTGTAAAATTAACAAACACACTTTTGTAAAATATTTCTCTTCAACAAAACTAAAGAAAAAAAAGAGACAACAAACCAATACATAAATAAACATGTATTTTATTTAGAGAGAATTTTTTTTTTAGAAAATATATAGATGAAATAGATTAATATTTACAAACTAACAACCAATAATCAATCGCATCAATAACAATAACAATAACAATAACTTATGTATTTTTTAAAAAAACCAATAAAAAAACTTTTTAAATCAAAAAATTTTTATTATTTATATTTATATTTATTTATATTTATATTTATATTTATATTTATATTTATATTTATATTTGTATTTTTACATATTAACTTTTCATAGATTCAAAATTATTATCATCTATTTTCATTACAGTGTCTTCATCTAAATTTAATTTTGGAGGTATACAAATTGAAGAAATGTGTTGGCTGGTTTCTGGTTTGGTTGTTAGTAATGGAGATAATGAATTTGGCGAAGATTCTGGTATTGATTTTAATTTTGGTGTTCCAATATTTGATGGTTGAGCAGTTGAGGTTATATTTGTATCATTTAACGAAAACAATGAGTTTCCTTTTTTTTCGATTAATAGTTTCCTTTTTTCTGCAATTTCTTTTCTTAATGATCCCGATATAACTTCTAAAGGTTCCGAATATAATATTATTGCTGTTGTTTTACTTAATTTATTTTAAAAAAAAAAAAAGATTTATTAAATTAGTAATCGATATATAAATAAGCTTAATGTTTTATTAAAAATACCTTTCAGGGGATTTAATTGTAGGTAATTGTGATAACATTGCATTTAATGGTTTTATAGTTTCAACTTTGGTAATGTTTTGTATTTTATCTTTAAAATCTTTATCTGTATCTATTTCTTTTTTACTATAGTTTGGATTATATTTATTTGTTAATGATCCCAATAATTCAGATGAAGATTTAGATGTAGAGGATGAAAGTGGTACAATTGCTAATGAGCTATTATTTTTATTATCTTTATCCTTGTTCTTGTCCTTATCTTTTTCAATTATATCTTCTATTTTCATCATTGTACTATCTCCATTATTATTATTTATATTATTATTGTTATTGTTATTGTTATTATTATTATTATTATTATTATTATTATTATTATTATTATTATTATTATTATTGTTATTATTATTATTTACATTATTTTCTTTGGGTGGTACTCCCGGCGGAATTACATTATTTGGATTGACGATGAGTGCCGGCTAAATTTATTATAGATATTAGCCGATCCCTGGATGATATAGTTTATAGTTTGGACTACGACGGTATCTGATCGTCTTCTATCCCCATACTTTCGTTCTTGATTAATGGGGAAGTATTTGATGAATGCTTTCGCAAAAGTTCATCTTGATAGGGTCAACGAATTTCACCTCTCGCCCACCAATATGAACATCCCCATCCATCCCTATTAATCATTACACTTTAGACACTAACCAATAGCGTAAAATGTCATGTTCCATCATACCATGCTGCAAAAGATCAGACGAGACGCCTGCTTTAAACACCACAATTTTCTCACAGTGAAATGCACAAATAACTAGAGTCAAAGACCTAGAAACTGAGCTATTAAAAAAGAATTATTGGAGTTATTTTAGCCGGCAGAGCTGTAAAAAACGTTAGCCCAATAAGACTTTAACTTCAACTACGAGCTTTTTAACTGCAACACTTTAGTATATGCTATTGGAGCTGGAAT